AGTTTAGCAGATCACACTGCATCGTGACCTCAATTCCTTAAAACTCAAACTGTAGCTGAGCTTCAGCTTCTCTCTGAGCCAAATTTCACAGTGCTGGTTACAAAAAAGGCTTTAACCTCTCAGCATTGCCTAAAGTCATAAAAAGAGAAAAGTACAGCCACTTCTCCAACTCTGGATGCGAATGCGTTTTTCGAGGTGCAAGTCACACTTGAGGGAGCTGGATTTGTCACTGCATTATTTACTATTACCATTCTCTTTGTTAGCTGGAGTCACATTAATGAATGCATGAGGAGTTGCCTATTTGATGACCACAATGCATTGGGGAGACTCGCGGTACACCGATGCTCCATTTGTGTGAGCTGAATCATTCATCACACACATGCAGACACACACACACACTTTTATGCACTTTATGTGTGCTACCGAATCCATTGTCACCTTTAAGGAGACTTAAAACTCCAATCTACATTTTTTTTGTGAGCAACATTTTATTAATACGACAATACAGAACTCACAATGGAGTTAGCTGAAGAAAAATGTTAAAATTTCCAGAATATTCACAAACAAGTGCTGTTTTTCAGCTTAAATTTATGATGAACTGTGTTGAATTGTGGCCCTTTTTGGTTTATGGTACTACAAATTTTATGAGACTAAAAGCCCATCAAATTTATTTGTTGCTAAAAATTACAATTAAACACTGTCTGAAGCCTACAGACAGCAGACACATACTATTTAGTATCCACTGTCACATTCTGTTAAGTCTGCACTGCAGCAATCTTTACATGCACTTGCACTGAGGACAGCAGGTAAGAAAATGTTTGCACTGTTTGGTCCTAAAAAACATTTTGTTCCTAGTCTTCAGCTTGTATTCTATTTTGGGGAAGAGGAAGAACTCGCAAGGAGCCAAGACTGGCAAACAGGTTGAGTGGAGAGCAATGACTGTGCTGGCATGGCCAGAAAACATGCACATGATGCATGATGTCTGTGATCAGGCACCTGTCCAAGTGGAACGTGACTTCCCTTAGACGTCTTATGTTGTGTTCACACCAGACATGAGTAAAATCATTCGTACGAATGATTTACAAGTAAAGTCAATGTGAAGACGCAATTAGATGCGAGTACATGTGCCGTAGCGCGAATAGCGCGGCGCGAATGACGGAAATTGAGCGAGTTATTCGTGCGAATGATGCAAATCTCGCTGAGTTAAACGTGCGAATGACACTTCATTCACACTGGACGCTTCATTTGCACAAGTTGAAAAATCTGAACTCAAGCGAGCATTCATGTTGCGATGGCCAATCAGCGTTACGATTCTCTGGTGATGTATCCTGGTATCCTGGAGGGATTTCCTGGTACCGATCCTCTCCAACAGGTTGTCAAACTGGGTCTGAATCTCTGGAGCATCTGATGGACCCAGACACAGCAGCGTCTTGATCTCCATTGTTTCTGGGCCTTCCACAGCAGACACCAAGCAGCAATGTTGTCGAGCACAACCATGTTTCATGATATCAGTTCTGGAAAATGTCAGGGAACGGGCAGAAGTTCCTAACATGAATTCACATAGAAAATGTTAAGTGCGTTTGTGGTGGAAATCAACTTCACATTATATTTAATGTGGGATGAAATGTATTTATCAGTCCATGTAGTCCAATTTTATGTTTCTCTGTGTGCTTGCTAAAAGCCTCAGAGTGGCAATAAAAACTACGTTTTACTTGTACGATGGGGAAAATACGCTAAAAGAGCTGCTATGGACATCTACATATACATATTTTTTTTTTTTTGACATTTTTGACAACCCTAGAACACAGTATTAAGACTCTACAGTGGAACTGTCCACTGACATTCTGGCCCTGGTGTATAAATTCACTGTGCACAACACCATGAACATCAAACAAAATGGTGAGCATGTTCTTGTTCATGCTGCTGACATCATGTGCCATCTTCAGTCATGGAGACTCATCCACTGAAGCCTGCTGTTTGGTATCTGACTCTGATCATTAGTGATGATTTTCAACATAAAGGCTGAATCAATTTCACCAGAATTCAGTGTTTGCTCTCTGTGCATAGTGAAATCGCAAATGTGCACCTTCGAAAGGTCAGAATACGACTTCAAGAAAGAATGGCAAATGTGGCAGGAGCACTGGGAGCGGTGCATTGCTGCACAAGAACAGTACTTCAAAGGAGATCGCAGTCTAATTTAACTTCTAATTTAGTTCAGTTAATTCAGTCTCAGAACGTCTTGATCAGACCTATCTCCACTGTAGTATTTGTAATATTTGTGCCTCGGCTTGATGGCATAGCTGCTCAGAATTAGAGTCAGAATAATGTTTTCTTTCAACAACACTTCTTCAAACAAGGTGACAGACACTATGTGTCATTTTAATGTCTGTTCCAAATATGAAGTAATGATTATGACGGAAAATGCGATAATCAAGAAAACGCTCTTGCAAAATTACCCATTTATTTCTATTTGCACATTGTCATGCAGTTCAATAGACCTTGAAATCCTGCAATAAATGCTATTTTAAAGGATGCCTTAAATGTTAATGTCAACACTGTGATAGGCAGGCTTTGATTCGTAGTTTTTTGAGGGCCTGTTGTGTAGTAATGTTGATTGCGTAATACTTAGAATGTTTTTAATAGTGCCTTGTGTACGGAAACTTGGGTAGATAAAGCTTTGGAAACATCTGGGAATGTCCAGGCAAAGGCAAGTTCTGAAATGAAACAGCTTCCTGTGAAGTTTTACAATAGGGGCTGCACGATATATAGCGTCAGCATTCAACACTGCAACGTGTGCACGCGCAGTAGCCGTGTCACAGCGCCTGCAACGTGAAGCACAAAGAAACAAGCTCAGACACGTCATGCTTGAGTTTGTTTTCCTCAACATGTTACTACTTTATTTGTTGCTTGATACAAAAGAGAAACTTCCAAGATCCTCATTTTCTATGACTAATCTACAAGAGAAGTCTGTCTGATAGAACATAATTTATCCAAGAGTTCTTGGATACACTGAGTTTAACTTTTAACTTTTTACTTATTTACAGGGCAGAGTTTGTTGACATGCAGGCTTTGCATGTACCCCGCAAATGAACGAAGAGCAGGAAAGAAACAGCAAAAGAAACGCAATATCAGTCGTATTAAAATATTTTGACTAAAAAATACAATGTTGACCAAAAAAGGTACTCTGTTGGTAGTGTAGCAGTTGTTGCATGACATGTAGGAATACACTTTTTTTTGTTTGACAATTCAAACAAAAGCTGTGCGAAGCCAGCTGAATGACATCCGAGGCGAACAACTATTTGAGATGCATTTACCAGAGTTCAACCATATGAGAAAGGTTCCAAAAAGCAGAGAAAAATCACTGATACGATACCTTTTCACCTTGTGGTTGACATGATACCAAAGAGGGTTTTAAAAACATGATCCGGGTGTTTGAGAAGCGGAATGTAATACCATCATGCATCTATTTTTCTCAAGTTGCCATCCTTGTATGAAAAACAAAAGACACAAGTTGAAACAGAGCTCTCACAAGTAAATATTATGTAGCCACAACAAACTTGGGGTCCAATCGAACAATGGAGCTCTGCATAAGTCTGACCGACCAATTCATTAATGACTTCCAACTAAAAAGCTGCTGTTTGCAAACAGCATTCTCTCCAGATGAACATACAAGCGAGAACATCACAACAGCGATTGAGAGAAGCTGCTTGGGGCCTTGATGAAAGACGTCAAGTCTGTGTAACAACAGCCAAAGTGATGGATGTGATGAAGGCTGCCGCCCTGAACAAGTGGAGGCTGCAGTGCTTTGGCCACAGACTGGGGCTTGCAGTTGGTAAGTTACACTTCTGCTATATTTATTGAACTGTTTTTTTGTTTATTGCAGAAAAACAAAATATTGCAATGGCAGTTTATTTGCAATATCTTGCAGTGCTATTGCCAACATGAATGCAAACTCACTTAAGTAAACAAAGTGTAGACAAAAAAAAAGAAAATGACATTAACAAACTAAATAAAACAAGTTTGGTGTCAGCTCAACTCATACTCATTTTTCATGTCAAATCCAGAGTGCTGGAAAAGAGCCACACTGATGAAAAATGGGTCACTGTCCCAATCATTGTGACTGGGCTGCATGTTCAGAGAGAAATCAATGGGTTTCTCAACTTACTGCATTTAAAAACATAACGAACATGTCAGTTTCACTGCGGTGTTGGGAAACATTAGTCACTCAAACAAGGCTGAAATCATTAGCATAATAAAACATTAATTACTTATTAGTGTATGCAATGGCCTGTCAATCAATTTGAGAGTAATAGCAGGGTTCCAGTCCTGTGCTTTGAATTTTGCTGGTACAGCTGTCGTTTTGTTTACGTATAGATCACAGACTGTGCCTTTACGTAAATGCAAAGCTTCAGATGCTTGGGCACACAGGCTTTGATATTGACATATCTGCCTACTGAGCCTCCACATGGAGACACACAACATCAGAGCGCAGCACAACACAGCACTCAACAGGACTGTCCGCGAGAGGCTCATTTTATATTCATAGTAAAAATTAAAATGGCAATGACAGGCGCTGCCTTTCAGACACACACAAACACTCAGCCTCAGAAGAAAGAGAACGAGAGTGAAATGAATACATGACATCTAAATAAGTCATAGCCATACATCCTTTTACCCCAGAACATAACAAACAGAAGACATAGCAATGCATATAGATAGATAGGTAACACTCCCAGTATAAGAATGATTGCTCTAACCTGAGCCGAGCAGCTCTGACAAACTAAACAAATGGTGTCTTCAGCTCATCATCTACAACTCTGGCTTATACCAAATCTGAGGAGAAAAGTGCATATGTGTCTTTGATTTGCTGTGGCTGGAGAGTAACAAAACAATGCATCACGGAAACAGAGCTATACTGTGAGGAAAGCAGACGGATGACGGCCCATCTCCAGGCAACACAGGAGAAAATGTTACTTGTTTGAAGTGCAAGAAGCCCTCACCTCAGCCACAGGCACTCCCTCTGGGGGACGACAGTGCAACACAATCATGCCATTCAGAGGCACCTCAGTGCCTTGGGGGTCCTGCTCAAAGTTCTTCCTCAGGTCTAGGAGAGAGAATAAACAGGCAGCATTAAAGAACATGCAGCATGAAAGAACAAGCAAACATGAACATTAAAAGTCAAATTGTTTCATGTGTGACCTTCTGTCTTTGCGCAAAACATACATGGACATATAAAATAATAATGCTTTCCTCAAAATCATGCCACTGGTATGAAGAGACATGACCTTTTCACAGACAGTAAGATCAGAGTGACATGAAGTTGCTTACAGGCAATTCGGACAGTTGCCTTGCGGCTCTTGGAGGTTCCCAGGTGACTCCAGGCAACACACAGACACCAGTAATCCTCTGGGCCATGAAAGTCCTCCACCTGCTGACGGGACACGTTGATCATCACTTCACGGATCTTCAGCCCTGCAGACAAAATGGGTGATTGCTAAGATTAGCTTTCATTACGTTGCAGGGATGATCAATCAAAGAGATGAAGATTTGTAGGGACAAGATGATGAGTGAATTTTGAATCTGATAAGATTATCAGCAGTAAACAGATCTGCCATTTGCCAGGAGGAGATGGAGGAGACACCGCTTGTCAAACCAAATACATTTCAGGGATTTTGTTTGGACAACAATTTAAACTGTACACTTCAATCCAGTTTACATTCATTGAGCTAACTACTTCACTCTGAATATTAACACCTGTGTCATTTCTAGCCTTTTGACGAAGCTCTGTTGAAGCTAGAGTTTGGCAAAAAGATGGACAGCAATGCAAAATTCTTGCTAAAGAAATAGAAATAGTTTGTGAGCATTCATACGCTCTTTCGTGTAAAACATAACCCATTTATACAGAAGTGACACTCAATGCTCTCTAGCAGATGCATTAACTGAGAGGAGGAACACATCACCCTCTCATTGTTTTAATGGGGAGTGTGAGCACTCAGGGTTTTTCTTGGACAACATTTCAATGGCCTATAAATTAAGGTAGGAGAAAGAGGCAAAACAGGGCAATTAACTACTGCATATGTACACAGATACCTTTTATGACAGTTGAATCATCTATTTCTGCAGCACAACTTTGACTTAATGTCACACAGGTCATTCGTTAATCTCGGTATATTGTCTGTGATGCAGCCCATAATGAGCTGGCATGAGATGAGCATTTTCTGAGACAACTGATGGGAATTTAAAAGCCCGGTATTTCAATTATGTCAGACTATGCACAAAAGATGACAGGCTTGGGCCATTAATGTATAATAGGGTGGCTTTATTGGTATCTAGGAAATTGCAGCTTTCAACCAACGTGCGTGATGTCTGTCTAACCCTGCAGAAACCTGAATTTCAGTCAGCCAGCTTGAACAGATTTATTAATATGTGAATAAAGAGTTATGAACAGCTAATGTTTGGTGTCTAGTGTCCAAACTCATCACTCCCCACGGCATGCAATTAAGCCTGCACAGTAGGGAAAGGGGGTGACAAGAACAAATACCCACCCCCTGAAAGAAAACTAGTATTAGAGCCTATGGATAGATCCTGGAGTTGATGTGATGCTAATTAAATATTGTAAAAGTTCAATGGTGATGCAGCTCAGTTTGCAGCAAACTGCAGCAAAATCAGCGACACAACCAAAGCCTGACAGCTTAAACAGGTGTGTGGTGTTTAATGTCTTATACCGTCTTAATTTCTCTGTTTTTAATTTTAGTGTTTAATCAGATAATTTCACAATCTAATCTCTGTATAAGGCCTCAAAGACTCAACCTGATTCGACAGCAGCGAAACCTGGTTTTCTTTCTTTTTTAAAAATTGAGTAGAAAATGAACAACTCTGACTTTTTAGGTTTTTTATTAAATATGTTATAATGAATCTTAGAACCAAGTTATATTTCACGGTGAAGGTGCAATATTCAAGTTTTAGAACAAAAATACAGCATAAATACAACAGCAAACAACTATCTGCTATGAAAGGATGTAGTGGAATCATATCATCCTCAGCAGACGTTACACTGCCACTGAGCTTCTCTGTTTTATCTTTTGTTGGACGATGTGACTGTGTGTGCATGTTGGTGTAGATAAGGCCCTCCCTGTGAAACTGTTGGACCTCCCACACCACGCTGGAAAAGTGAAAGAGCAGCCTGAAGTTCAACCGATGTCTTTAAAATGCATCGTCTTTTATTTATGTAATTTACTGAATTAATGTGCACCAGAGTGCTCTGCTCCTCTGGGCGGTCATGTTAGGTAGCGGGGCAAGTTGTCCGATATCCACAAGGTTGACAGTTTGATCCCTGGCCCCTTCGTGTCCCGAACTGTCCTTGGGCAAAACACTAAATCCCAAGTTGCTCCCAATGGCAGGCTAGTGCCTTGCATGGAAGGTCTGCTCCCAGTGGTGTGTAAATGAGAAGTATATTGAAAAGTGTTTTGTAAAACCTAGCAAAGGTAAAAAGGCGACATTTAGGTTTGAACCACTTACTATTTAAGCATTTATTACATCTCCACTCATGTCTGTGTCTACTGGGATGCGACAGACTGAACAGACACAGGCGAAGTTAAGGAAAGGCAGTTGAAGTGAGGATAACATTAAGTTCAGAACAGCTTGCTACAGTCATTCAGTGTATGCTATAATGTCTGAGAATCTGCTCGAGCAACATGCAGTGTTCCTGAACACCACAAACAGAAGCTTTAATGCAAAATTGTTTTAATCAGCTTTAATTTGTACTTCTTTTTGACTTGCTGACTTGTGGTTTCTGATGGTAAAAATAAGTGGGCTTGAATCCACAAAAAACCACCTTGAGTAGCTACGACTTCACCAATACAACAGAGGAGCACGTGGTCAGTCTTTAGTTTTTTGCAGTGCAGCCAACAGCCAACAGACCTGTTTACTTAAAAAGTAAATCGATACTTGGCCTTTTCTATAATAAGCAGTCACCAGCAACTCTTTAGCTCTGGCTGGTTCTTCTTGTTCTATTAGCCCTTGCAGTGTTCAAAACTGGCAAAACAGCTGCCAAAAAATGACCAATGTAACCATATCTTGCTTAGTCAAGACCTTTTTGATGAATGAGCTCATTTGGCATTAACCTTATTGCATTAATAAATTGTGTTTCCTCTGATTGCTACACCAAAAATGCCACCCTGTGTTTTGCCGGTTGGATGCTTTTAATGTGAGTAAACAACAGTAGAAAATTTGGTGATGTGCATTAGCAGCATCTTAATGCGGCTGTGATGCAGCTATAGGAGAGAGGACAGTAAACTGTGAGGCTGTTATCAATGAGATGAAACTGCAAACATGCATATATTGTTTCCAATCCCTCGTGTGAAGGCAGGCAATTAGAATCCAGCGTGAGATGAAGGACTCCACCAAGAATGAATAAGGGAAAATTCTATATAGAGAAGTAATTACTGCAAATGCTGATATGATCAGCACTATAAACACACTCAATGCTGTTTAATTCCCTGAATTAGATCTTCTAAATCTTACAGAAAGAAAAAAAAACAAAAAAAAAACTTCAGACAACAATAATTTGAATTTGATTGGCATTAATTATTTTAGATGTAACATCAATAGAACCTCGGTATATCTGAACAAAACTGGAGGCAGATCGTTACTGATTTTCAGAACATCTAACAAGTCGTGCTTAACAACACATCTCGCAGCAGCTGTTCAAAAATCACTGTAAAGCTCGGCCTCTTGTGGCTTATTGCTTAATTACGCAGACCTACACTTGTAGAGGAACTGTCTCTCCACAGGCTTTTGCCATCATGCCGTACACAGCAGACAGCAGCTTAGACATGGGCCGGGATTAAATGAAAACTAATAATGTGAAATGAAAGGTTATCAAAGGGAGCCTAATGAAGTAATGTAAAACAGAAATGTTCTCTGAAGACACTGTAATCCTCCACAATGACTGACTGATATTATGTACAATAACCCACCCCCACCCCCACTCCCACCCTCCACTCCATCTACTCCTCCTTTCCACTGCTACAAATTAGAGACTTAATCAACGTGCCTGATTAAGTGAGAGTGAGGCAGATTTAACTACAGCAAAATGAAAACACAAGTTTGCACTCTAGCGAGAGGGTAAATTTGTCATCAAATCATGAGGAATTTGCAGTGTCAGTGTGTCACTGAGGAAGACCTCTTTTGGCTCGATGCAGCAGTGATGTAAACTAATTTGAATATATCATCCAGATATGAACGGTTTGATTTGTTTCCCTTTAGCCACTCTTCCTCTAAAACTCGCAACTCAGGAAAAAATTAAAAAAAGCACACTGCTGCAGTTACTTCTTTCCCTCTTCACAGTGACGTCAAAAATCTCTGATATCCATAGATAACAAAAAATATGTTTTATCAAACCTCACATCGGCGGCATCACATTTAAACATGTTCTTCAGCGTTACAGTGATCCGAGGAATTGTAGTCTACAGCAAATAGAGTACAAACAGGTGTTGCTAAAGTAGCAGCCGAAACAACATGCTTTAATTTTGTCAAAATATAAGTAAACAGTTTGTGGGCAAGACATACACTGGTATAGACGGACGATAGTAGTCAGACCCACATTCAATACAAATCTTTTCTTTTTTTTTGTACTTTGTTTACATGTCAATATGTCATTTTTGTAATATGCTACACATCAGGAAGGAAAATAAACAGTCAACACCGTGATTTAACATTTCCACCTTGTAACTGCAGGGTACTGGTGACAAACCTCAGGAACCAATCCCGTCAACTTGCAGGCTGGAGCCTTCTGTCACATTATTCTTTTTTTAGACCCGGTTTTTGATATAGCTGAATTACTCCAGTATTACAACTTGCCATTGTGTAGCCTCGAGTAGTCTTCCAGTGTTCGAGCAGAGTCATAGGTGAGCTGCTTGTAAAGGAAGCATCAGTGTTGAGTTACATCAAAGCCCTTTTGAAACATGAAGGGAATATTTTCCTGGAAAATATTTCTAAAATGTAACTCTGATACACTATGGTGAGCTTTTTAAAAATAGAAAATCATATCTTATTTAGCAGTGGTAAAAAGTAACTGCCTATTTACTCAAATACTGTACTTAAGGAGTATTTTGACGTAATTTTGCTTTACTTCAGGATTTACCTTTCATGCTATATACACTGTTGCCCAAAGTTGGATATTTTTTGTTTTCAGACACATTCCTCTTTTATTTTTTTCTATATATACACATCAGTAATCACTTTGACCAGGTGCAATGACTACATACCGAGTCTCAGTTAGCAGGTGAAACACATTCTGACTTCTGATCTGACTGAAGAGTGGGACGTCCTGCCCACTGACACCATCAACAAGCTGGTGGACAGTATGCCACCATGTCTTAACGCATTGATCCATGTCAGGGGTGGTGATACTGAACATTAGTGACTGACTGACATTTAAAGAGCAATACTGGGCATTCTAATGCATGAAT